GTCCCTGGGCTCCCTGCCACCAGTCATTGCAACTCATCCCTCAAGCAGGCCCAGTCATCAGAGCAGTAAACGCAATGCGAGTGAGGGGTAGTGGCGTACAGTTATTCGTCACGGTGATCGTTCACTCGACGACCCAGCCAATGCAAAATACCAGAGTCCTAGTCTTCTCATCGGTTCTTACTTGGACAAAAGTATAGCAAAGGGATTTCGTCTGGTCGATCCCGCCGCCCCACGAAGTGCACTTAATTTTTTCAAATTAAACGCACACCGTTTGAAAGCCATGAGCTAGCCACATGATTCATGACATTCAAACGGAGCATGCTTAAATTCCTGAAAAATGTTTCAGCTTCAAAATTTTTCCAGCTTTTTCAAAATTTCAACTTCCTGCTTTCATGCCTCTTTTGTATCGCTGCATCCTGAGACCACCATATCTACCGAATCTATGAAATAACGCAGAAACGCATCTTTGTCTCTCCAGGTTTCTCAACCCGCAACCAGATAAGCTAGAAAGTTGAAAATTTACCCATGCTTTTTTTGTGCGTTTTTCCGTGCAGCGCTAGAGCGATGCAACAAGCAGCAAAAACGCATATTGCAACGACCCTGTCAGTGTGTGTATGTTTGTATGTATGTGTGTGTGTGTGTGTGTGTGTGTATGTTTCTATGTTATGTGTGTGTGTTCATCTGTCCGGGTATTTCAACTCACCAACCACGCAAGCTTTGAAGCTGAAATGGTCCCCAGCCAAGTGCCACCCCAGGACCGCGGTGTTAACTCTTATGTATGTTTGGGCGCCGTGTACGTGCACGTGAAAATTTTGACGGGAAAACAGATAACTCGGGGACGAGAAAAGCTAGAAAGCTAAAACCATAGGGGTATGTTCCCTACCCTTGTATGACAAAAAGGTTTCAAATTCAGCTGCCCAGGACTGCTCGGGGCTTACGTACGGGCAAGTGGAAATTGTGGCGGGAAAATTCATAACTCGAGAATGAGAAAAGCTAGAAAGTTGAGACATTGGGGGAGTGTTCCCTACTCACGCACGACCAAAAGCTTTCAAACTCAGCTCCTTAGGGCCGTCCGGTGCTCACATACGGGCACGTGAAAATTTTGGCGCGAAAATTACCCGGGGACGGGAGAAGCTAGGAAGCTGAGACTTTAGGGGAATGTTTCCTACTCATGTACGACCAAAATCAGATGTTTAGAAGCACCCGGGGTCCACAACGGGAACGTGGAAATTTTGGCGCGGAAGTCACTGACCCAAGGACGAAAAAAGCTAGGAAGCTGAAATTTTACGGGAATGTTCCCTACTCATGTACGACCAAAATCAAGTGTTTAGAAGCACCCGGGGCCCACGTACGGGGAACGTGGGAATTTTAGTGCGGAAATCACTAACCCAGGAACGAGAAAAGCTAGAAAGTTGAAATTTTAGGATAATGTACCCTACTACCAAAAGATTTCAAATTCAGCTCCTTAAAACCGGCTGGTACTCACGTACGGACACGTGGGGATTTTGACGGGAAAACCGCTAACTCGGGAACGGGAAAAGCTGAAGACTTTAATTTTAAAGGAATGTTCCTTACTCATGTGCGACTAAAAGATTTCATATTTAACTCTTCTAGTGCAGCCTTTTTTGCGGACCAGCAACTTTCTATTTGTCGGGTCACTGAAGTCGACATCTACAACTGACATACCACATAGTTACACAATGAAATTCCTGAACTTCGAGGGCCAGTATGTCACAGGATTAGCTACCGTGATTCCTTGCGATCTTGCTACGGCAAGAAAAGTGCAAAAACGCATAATCGCACCGACCCGCCTGGTGCGTTCCAGCCTGGGTTTCTTGTCCACAAAAAACATAAGCTTGCAATATTTATCGACTCGTTTATGCCGCGGAAAAATCAATGAAATGAAACAGGCGCAAAATGGTGAGCACAGAGATCAGTACAGGCAGATTTTCGTACAGTACACGGAAAACATCACACGATGACAGAAAAAACAGTATCTCATGCCAGGAGAAGGCGGCAGTGTCTCATAACACAGTTATCTATATACATGACCGGGTCAAGCACTGAGTGTTAATATTTCACAGATTCGGGAAAAGTGACGGATTTGGTGGTGCTCTGGATGTGGTCCATCCCTTACCGCGTGCACGTTTCGAGCGGCTTGATCCTCTCGATGAACCTGACCTGAAAATCTTGTCAGTTGTTTAAGTTACTTACTCTAAACGACTTTTTACACGTTTTGCGCTGTGGAACCGCAAAAAAAAAAACGCGTTTGTCAAGAGGTTGTGTACGTGCATTTTGTCCCACACTTTCAATTCGGGGACGGCAAAAGCTAGATGGCTGGAATTTTAATAGAGCGTTTCTTTCTAAGTATGCCAAG